TGCTGCTGAGGAGTAGGGGTCTGTCGGAAGAAAGAAAGAGACGTTGCTGCTGAGGAGTCGGGGTCTGTTGGAAGAAAGAAAGAGACATTGGTGTGAATGGCTGTGATGAATGAAGATTTCCAGAACCCATCTCAGGCCCTGGACATTTTCAGTATAGTTTATTGGTTGAGGGGTGCCAAAACCTACCATTAGAGCAACATGAAAGGACCAGGCTGAGGTTGTACTGGGGGTGAAAGGTTGTCAGGCATATAGTGAACAGCTGGTGAGAACACAAACCTTCAGAGGTTTTGTTCTCTGCATCCTCACTAACATCTGTTATTTTTTGTCTTTTTAATAACAGTCATTCTGACTGAGGTAAGATAATATCTCCTTATGGTTTAATTTGCATTTCTCTAATGATTACTGATGTTGATCATTTTTGAATATAAGTGTTGGCCATTTGTATATCTTCTTTTGGGAAATGGCTACTCATGTCATGCCTCGGGATTTTTTTTTTTTTTTTTTCAAGTTGAGTCTCGCTCTGTTGCCCAGGCTAGGGTATAGTGGTGTGATCTCAGCTCACTGCAACCTCTACCTCCAGGCTCAAGTGATTCTCCTGCCTCAGCGTCCTGAGTAGCTAGGATTACAGACGGTTGCCACCACTCCCAGCTAATGTTTGTATTTTTAATAGAGACAGGGTTTCACCATGTTGTTCAGGCTGGTCTCGAACTCCTGACCTCGTTGTAATCCACCTGCCTCAGCCTCCCAAAGTGCTGGGATTACAGGTGTGAGCCCCAAGCCTGGTCTGTTTTGTTTTTCCTATTGTTTGAGGTCCTTTTATTCTAGATGTTAGTCCCTTGTTGTATGGATAATTTGCAAATATTATCTCCCACTCTACAAGTTCTTAGTCTTAAATTATTTTCCTAGACTCATGTCCAAGAGAGTTTTACCTAGGTTTTCTTGTAATATTCTTATAGTTTTAGGTCTTACTTAACTCAGTAATCAATTTTGAGTTGATTTTTGTATATGGTAAGAGATAGGGATCCAGTTTCATTCTTTTGCATATGGCTGTCCAATTTTCCTAACACGTTTATTAAAGAGGGTGTCCTTTCCCCAGTGTCAGTTCTTGTCAGCATTATCAAAGATCAGTTGGCTGTAAGTATGTGACTTTATTTCTGGGTTCTCTATTCTGTTCCACTGAGCATTTCTGGTAGGGTCATTCTTGGTTATAACAAATTCCCCTAGCATTTGCTTGTCTGGAAAAGACTATTTTTCTTCCATCTGTGAAGGATGATTTTGCTGGATAGACTCTTCTTGGCGGATAGTTTTTATTTTTTTAAATTTCAGCATTTTAATTATATCACCTCATTTTCTTCTAGCATGTGAAGTTTCTGCTAAGAAATCCACTGTTAGTCTGATGGGGGTTTCTTTATTGGTGACTAGATGCTTTTCTCTTGCTTTTAAAAGGATATGCTTTTTATCTTTGACTTTAGGCAGTCTCAGTATAATGTGCCATGGGGAGATATTTTTGCATTTTGTTTGCCTACACATTGCTGAAGCTCCTGTAACTGAATGTGAGTCTAACATGCTTGCTAGACTTGGGAAGTTTTCTTCTATTATTTAATTACATAGGTATTATAGTCCTTCCTTTGTCTCTTTGCCCCTGGGATGCAAATAATTTGAATATTTGATCACATTATGTTGTACTAAATATTACAAAGCCTTTGTGGATTTTTTAGGTTCTTTTTCTTTATTTTTGTCTCACCGATTTAAAAAATGTCTTCAAGTTCTGAGATTCTTTCTTCTGCATGATCTAGTCTATTACTGAATCTTTCAAATATATTTTATATTTTCTTCAATTAATTCTTCAGCTCCAGAATTTCTATTTGGTTCATTCTTAAAAATATCTGTCTATCTCTTTGCTAGATTTCTCATTGATATCCTGAATTCTCCTTCTGAAATCTTTGTCTTGTTTTCCAGAATTCTCTTGTATCTAACTGAGTTTCCTTAAAATTGAAATTTTGAATTGTTTATCTTGGATTTCAGCAACTTCTTTTTGATTAAGATCTATTGCTGGAGAATTATTGTTTTCCTTTGGAGGTTTTATATTTCCTTGTATTTTGATGTTTTCTATGTCTTTATGTTGATATCTGTGTATCTGGGGTAACAGTTGCATCTTCCTATTTTTGAATTCACTTCCATAGGGTAGGACTTTTCTGAAGATATATCTGTGGTGTTGGTTGAGTAGGGCACTTTGGCTTTTATTCTGGGTGCACGTAGTAGTGTAGTCTCTGTATTTTTTAATTTTTTATTTTTTACTGTAAATAGCATTAGTGCTTTCTGTGATTTCCTTAGAGGATTAGGCTGTAATTGTTAGAGAAGGCTGTGGTGAAGTTGTGCTGGGGACTAGGGAGCCAGGTGGGCTAGTCTTCAGGCCCCTAGGGTGGCAAGAGTAGGGTGAGTCTACTTATCTTTGCTCCCCAGAATGGTGTATGCTGGCACCTGTGTTGGCGGTTACTGGTAGGCCGGTTCCTGGGCCTTAGGTGGCTTACATGGATGCTTGTAGTGGCAGCAGTGGGCTAGGTGACTGAACAGGTTCTCATGTCACTGGGCAACCAGCGTGCTATGGGTCATGGCAGTAGTGGTGGTGGAATGATCCTCTGGGTCCTGCATGGTATGGGCTAGTGTTGGTGGTGGCTGTGCTACCAGTCACCACCCACAGCTCTCAGGCTCTTCTGCTCTCTGTAGCAGCAGTGCTACGGTGCCATGTGGCAGGGAGGAAGGACTTGCTTTCACACCAGATCCCAGGCATGCAGGGCATGTGACACTGTGGGGTTGATCTCAGACAGGCAGCTCTGGATCACCTGACCCAGCCTTCAGCAGCAGAAGCAGGTGTGTGGACAAGGAGGAGTTGTTCTGTTCTCTATGTGTGAGCCTGAGAACAGAGACTGTTCTGTCGGTGGGAGAGGAAATTAAACTAATGAGTATAAATTACTCCAGTTTGCCATTAAAGGGAAAGATAAATATGGTCAGATGGTGGTAGTTGGAAGGAGTTCTGGAGCCTGTTGAAGTGTTCGCTGTGTTAATAGGTTGTGTTTTAATATAGAGAAAATGAACTTAAAGATGTCGGTATAACTATTTTATCGAATCAGCTAGATTTGATTAGTTTAAGTGGGGAGCAAACGTTATTTTCTTACTACTGCCCTTCAAATTCATGTGGCACACGTATCTCTCTGAAACTCATGTGGCACACGTTTCTCTCTAAAACTCATGTGGCACACGTATCTCTCTAAAAGCTTTCCTAGTCAGTTTTGTCAATTAACTCTTTCTCATTGTCAGATATTAAATAACTTATTTCATCTTAATTAGTACTTCCATTTAGTATACAGTTAAGCTATGTTCCTTCTCCCAGCTCAACCTGGTCCTGCTAATTATTACACAAGCCAAGGGAAAGAAGGTCCTGATCAGTTCTGCCACCCTATTCTTTTACTCTCTTTTTTCTATTCTTTTCATTAGTTCTTTTTCTTCTCTTTCTTTTTTTTAAAGACAGGGTCTCACTCCCTCACCCAGGCTGGAGTGCAGTAGTGCAATCATGGCTTACCGCAGCCTCAATCTCCTGGGCTCATGGTACTCTCCTACCTCAGCCTTCTGAGTGTCTGGGACTACAGGAGCATGTTGCCATACTTGGCTAACTTCTTGAGGGGTAGAGATAGGTGTCTTGCTATGTTGTCCAGGCTGGTCTTGAACTCCTAGCCTCAAGCAATTCTCCTGCCTCAGCATCCCAAAGTGCTGGGATTATAGGGATGAACTACTGTGCCTGGCCGTACTCTCTTTTTCAATTCAGATTATAGTTTTTGGCTCCTCCATAAGTGGGGCAAGGTGTGGGAAAGAGTTAAGTTGTTAAAGAGTTAAGAATTAAAGTGAGGATCAGCATCAGTCTTGTACCCCATGGAAATATCAGGAAATACAAGTCAAGTAGTTAAAGAGATACTCTTATATTACTCTGATCAGGAAACAGCACTGGGTAAACCAGTAGATTTTGCAGTATTGGGAAGAGTGAGATGTTACTTTCTCCTTTTTGTATATATTCCTGTTCACTATAAAAAGTCCCTCTTCCTTGGTTTGAGATAAGGGACGTCATCCCACCTCCACCCTCCATGGGGAGGGAAAAATCAGGGAAATGCATAGAACTCCAGTAGCTCTATTCAGAAGAAATACTCTCTCTGAACTCAGATCCATCTCCAGCCTTCCCATCTATAGACAACAGGTGGGTGAAGGGTGAAGTGTTGAAACAGTTTTTTTGGCCACCCCTTTGCAAATTTTGTCTTAATGAATCTATTATCTCCTCATTTTGAATGTACACATTCTCATCATTTATTGCATTCAGCTGAGAGAACAGAAAAATGTCATTTCACATGCTGTTGCCTAGGAAAGAAAAGGCATATATGATTCCCGCATAAGAATGCAGGCCCAGTGCATTTTCTGAATGTAAGATAGAAAAGAATACTTACTGTTATAACCGAAATGAGTTTATGGCCCCTGTAGTCACTATCAGAATGTTATCAGGTTCAAAAGACACATTGGTCTGATGTCTGGCATGTAAAAGAAATGTAAATCTTTGGTCAAGGAAATTTCAAATCAGGGAGGTATGTATTTCAAACGATGTATGATAAATAGCAAAACTTCATCAAAAATATTTTATTCATCCCTAGTGCCAGAGTTTTAGCGATAACCTCTCAAAAATCTCTCCTAATTTCCCCTGCTTCTCTCTACCAATTCTGCTCTTCCAAGAATTATTCCTGACCCTTTTTAAATCTAATACAATTTAGCCTTTTCACGTCCCCAGTTCCTCACTCAAACTTTGTACCAGTCATCTCAACACACGTCCTGATAGCTGAGCAGGTGTATAGAGAAACATTTTTAGAAGATGAGAAAGGGTGAGTAAAGAAAGCTGTGAATGCTAAGATATTTCATCTGTGACATACTGATAATTTAATTTTTCATTTTTTCTTTTGGTTTAGCCAAAGCTGGTAAAACTGAGTCACTGCGTGTAGCATTCACTGAAGATGAAACCACTTCCATTAAAACAGATAAAAACCGTTCTCCTGATGTTTTAAGAAATCAATCAGTAACACCTATCAGCATTCAAAATATCTTTCTTGATCATTCTGTACAAGAAAGAGTAACTACAGTTTTATCACCCCAAAAATCTACTAAGCATATGTGCTGGAAGATTCCAGATACTGCTACTGGCTCCATATTTTTTCCAAGTTGTCCTTCAGCTTCTACTCAAGTTTTTGGGAAAAAAACAAACAAAATGGAAAGTTCAAGAAAGTTGAAATCTATGAAAGATGTTTATACTGAAAAAAGACTAGAAAACATTTTAGTTCTTTCTTCAGAGTTCTCCAAACGTAAAAGTATTCCTGGCCCAGTTTTCACTGACAGACTTGAGGAAGTGCACCCTAAGTATCAACCTTTACCAAAGAGTCCAGGCTATACTTATCAGCACACCTCGAGAGATTTAAGAGCAACAGTGCCAAGCCCTCCCCCTCGGACTGTATCTACAAAGCCAGAAGGACAACCTGAACAGTTTAAACAGACTGCTACATTGGCAGTAAGAGTTACTGAATTTCCAGGTTTTATTGCCTTGCCCACACCAACTTTGCCAAGAAAACCTCAAAGACAGTCTATGATAGGTAAATACAATCTGAACATGGTATAATTACAGAGTCAAGTAGAGCAAAGGGGAGAGAAGGCATTCAAGCTAATGGTACCCCTCCCCCTCTGGGTTTTCAGGGTGGGAAGATGGAATCACCTTGTATCTATACATGTAATACTTGAGCCATAGGGCAATAACCAGAGCCCTGACCTTGCAGATCTGCTAAGGCCAAACTGGGCACTCCATCCAGATGGTGATAATGGGAACCAATAAGGGAATTCAAAGGATCAGAAAAGCTAAAATAAAGAAACAGTGAGAATACACACTCATTCAAAAGGTGATCTGGATGAACTCCAGAAGTAGAATGCCAATGCTGATAGATGCCTTCATGAATACATTTTCCAGGATAACTGCAATCCATTAAATGATGAACAATTATATTGAAGCCATAAAACCCTCGAATGAATTTTTACAAGTATCCAAAGTCCTCCATTTTTTCCCTTTTTTTCTAGAAACTCTTGCAACAGAAAATGAAAATGTAGAAAGTACCCCAAAGCGAATCCCACCAAGACCACCTGAAGGTAACTGCTAGATTTATCCAATTCTTTTAGCAACTGTGTACAGATGATATCTTTATACAAGTGTTAGTGATTTTGTATGTTTATGTGAGCATTTCATGCATGCATAACACACATATGGCTTACCTCATTTTCAGCTCCCTAAGTCATTGATGGAGCAGCTATTTTTAATGTATTGACTATGAACCGAACATTTTTATATTAAGAATATAAAAGCTGATGTACTCTTATTCTGGGTGGGGCAAACAGGCACACAAAAATATGAATTAACTATTTGCCATGTGCCAGGCACTGTTTTAAGTTCTTTGACCTTACTTACTTGGAAGAAACAAGTAATGAGATACATCTTTGAAGAAATATTACACCATCCCAGATGTTACATAATGTCTACAAACAATCTCTCAAATATCCTGTGTGGTAAATAATTTACAATTACCAAGCACACAAAGAGAAAGACAAAATGAATGAAAATTAGCAGAAACAATAAGCACTAGAAACATATGCACAGGATTATTTGGTGTTAGGATTATTGGACACATTTTAAAATAACCTGGTGACTTCTGTTTTTTTTTTTCCCATGATTAACTAGTTTGCATTGGACTAACCTTACCAAAATTGACTTTTAAAGCTGTCAAAAAAATATAAGGTATATATTGAAGGCACTGGACAGTAACCAATGTGGATATGACTTGAGTACCTACAGTTCCTGAAAGAAGGGAAGCTCTACCTTTACCTTGGCTTTTGCCGGAGGGTATTTGTGGTGAGGGAGTATGGATCACAAGTGGTGGTTTTAGTGGATTGAGGAGACAGCAGTCAGACTTCAGAGCAGCCAATAGACTTGGGACCTGAGGGAGAAAATCTTGTCAAGGAAAGAATTGAAAGAAGGTGAAGCCAAACATCTGCATACAAACTGGGCACAGTGGTGTGCAGCTGTAGTCCCAGCTCTTGAGAGCCTGAGTATCACTTTAGCCCAGGAGTTTAAGGCCCTCCTGGGTAACATAGTGAGGCTCTGTGTTAAGCCATTCTGGCATTGCTATAAAGAAATACCCGAGACCGGATAATTTATAGAGAAAAGAGATTTAATTGGCTTACAGTTTTGCTGACCATACAAGAAGTGTGGTGCTGGTATCTGCTTCTGGTGAGGGCCTCAGGGAGCTTTTACTCATGGTAGATAGCAGAGTCAGAGCTTGCACGTCACATGATGATAGTGGGAACAAGAGAGTGGTGTGGGGTAGGGGGTGCCACACACTTTAAAACAGCCAGATCTTACAAGAACTTGCTATCATGAGGGCAGCACGAAGCCATGAGGGATCCACTCCCATGACCTAGACCTCCCACCAGGCCCATATCCAACATTGGGAGTTACATTTCAACATGAGATTTAGAGGGGAAAACATCCAAACTATATCACTCCACCTCTGGCCCCTCAAATATCATGTTCTTTTCCTGTTGCAAAATACAATCATCCCCTGCCAGTAGTTCCCCAAAAGTCTTACCTCATTTCAGCATCACTGAAAAGTACAAAGTCTCATGTGAGACAAGTCATGTCCTTTTGTATTAGAGTTCTCTGGAGGGATAGAACTAATATGATATGTGTGTATATGAAAGGGAGTTTATTAAGCACAATTGACTCACATGATCACAAGGTAAAGTCCAACGATAGACCGTCTGCTAGCTGAGGAATAAGGAAACCAGTAGTGACTCAGTCTGCATCCCAAAACCTCAAAAGTAGGGGAGCCAACAGTGCAGCCTTCAGTCTATGGCTAAAGGCCCAAGAGCCCCTGGCAAACCACGGGTTAAATCCAAGAGCCTAAATGCCAAAGAACTTGGAGTCTGATGTTCTAGGGCAGGAAGCATGGAGCACAGGAGAAAGATGAAGGCCAGAAGACTCAGCAAGTCGGCTTCTCCTACCGTCTGCCTGCTGTTTTAGCTGCCTGTGCTGGCAGCTGATTGGATGGTGCCTACCCCACACTGAGGGTAGGTCTTCCTGAGGGTGGGTCTTCCTCTCCTACTCCAGTGAGCAAATGTTAATTTCTTCTGGCCACACTCAGAAACACCCAGATACACCCAGCAACAATACTTTGTATCCTTCAATTAAGTTGACAGTTAACATTAACCATTACACTCTTCCACCTAGACACCTGTAAAATTAAAACAAGTTATTTGTTTCCAAGCCTGTAAATTTTTTTTTAGTTTGTCTCTTTTTTTGTTTGTTTGTTTTTTTTTTGCCTGTAAAATTAAAACAAGTTATTTACTGCCAAGATACAATGGGGGCAGGTACCAGCATCGAGTAAACATTCCCATTCCAAAAGGGAGAAATTGGCCAAAAGAAAGGGGCTACAGACCCTGTGCAGGTCTGAAACCCGGATGAGTAGATATTACATCTTAAAGCTCTAAAATAATCTTTGACTGGATGGCCCACATCCAGGGCACACTGGTGCAGGGGGTGGGCTCCCAAGGCCTTTTCCAGCTCCACCCATGTGGCTTTGCAGGATGCAGCTCCTGTGGCTCCTCTCGTGGGTTGGAGTTGAGTACCTGTGGCTTTCCCAGCCTCAGGATTTAAGCTGCATGGGGTGCTACCATCCTGGGATCTGAAGGGTGGCAGCCCACTTCCCACAGCTCCATTTGTGTGGGAAAAGCCCACATTTCTTCTCTGTACTGCCCTGATAGAGGTTCTTGGTGAAGGTTCCACCACTGTGACAGAGTGGTGGAGCTCCCAGGCTGTCTCATCCATCCTCTGAAACGCAGTTGCAGGCTGTCAAAGCTCCTTCACTCTTGCATTCTGCAGATTTTGAGGCTTGACACCATGTGGAAGTCACCAAGGCTTACATGCATGAAGTCTTTGCAGACTCCAAAGCAGCAGCCTAAGCAGTATCTAGAGCCCTTTGAGCTGAGGCTGGAGTCAGAATGGTCAGGACACAAGGAGCAGCCCCCTCAGGTGGCACAGGGCAGTAGGGCCCCGGCCCTGGCGCCTAAAACTGTTCACTCCTCTTGGTCCTCTGGGCCTGTGATGGGAGGGGCTGCCACAAAGTTCTCTGAAATGTCTTTGAGGCCTTCGTCCCATTTTCTTGGCTATTTGTACTTGGATCCTTTTTAGTTATGCAGATCTCTCTAGCAAGTGCTTACTCTATAGCCTGCTTGAATTTCTCTCCTAGAGCTTTTTCTTTCCCTGCTACATGGCCAGGCTGCAAATTTTCCGAACCTGTACAATCTGCTTCCCTTTTGAATATAGATTTCAACTTTGCCTTTACTTTGCTCCCACATCTGAGCATAGGCTGTTAGAAGCAGCCAGGCTAAATCTTGAATGCTTTGCTGCCTGGAAATTTCTTCTATCAGATACCCTAAGTCATCACTCTGACGTTCAGACTTCCACAGATCATTAGGGCATGAATAGAATTTAGCCAAGCTGTTTGCTAAGGCGTAACATGGATGACTTTTGCTTCAGTTTCAAATAAGTTCCTCATTTCAATCTGAGACCTTGGCAGCCTGGACTTCCCTGTTAAAATAAGTATCAGCATTTTGGTCATGCTGTTTACCCAGTCTCTGAGAAGGTCCAAACTTTCCCTCATCATTCTGTCTTCTTCTGAGCCCTAGAAATTCTTCCAGCCTCTGCCTGTTACCTAGTTCCAAAGTGGCTTCCACATTTTCATGTATATTTATAGCAATGCCCCCTTTTCAGTATTAATTTTATGTGTTGGTTTGTTCTTGAATGGTTACAAAAAAAAACCCTCAAGACTGAGTAATTTATAGAGAAAAGAGGTTTAATTTGTTTACAGTTCTGAAGGCTATACAAGTGTAGTCGTGGCATGCACTTGGCTTTTGGGGAGGCCCCAGTGAGCTTTTATTCATGGCAGAAGATGAAATGAAACAAGAGCAGGTATATCATGTTGCAAAAGCAGAAACAAGAGACATTGGAGGAGAGGTGCCACACTTTTTTTTTTTTTTTGAGATGGAGTTTTGCTCTGTTGCCCAGGCCACAGTGCAGTGGCACAATCTCAGCTCACTGCAATCTCTGCCTCCCAGGTTCAAGTGATTCTCCTGCCTCAGCCTCCTGAGTAACTTGGATTGCAGGCATGCACCACCACACCCAGCTAATTTTTGTATTTTTCATAGAGATAGGGTTTCACCATGTTGACCAGGTTGGTCTCGAACTCCTGACATCAAGTGATCCACTCTTCTTGGCCTCCCAAAAGTGCTGGGATTACAGGCGTGAGCCACCACATCTGGCCTGCCACATACTTTTAAACAAGATCTAATGAGAATTCCACTCACTATCACAAGGACAGCACCAAGCCATAAGAGATCTGCCTGCATGACCCAAACACCTCCCTTCAGGACCCACATCCAACATTGGGGATTACATTTCAACATGAGATTTAAAGAAGACAACATTCAAACTATATCACAATCTCCTAAAAAGATGTCTGCATACAGACTCTAAAGGGTGCTAGCTGATTTCTAAGCTGTGCATGTGTAGAACAAGACTTCAAGAAACACAGCAGAAAACATTATCTGAGAAGACAGGAAATTGATCATAGAGTTTCGTGGTTGCACAAGAGGTAGATAGTAGAGGTCAAGCTCTGACACAGTGTTGGGGCCTTTGTAAACACAGTTGAAATTCCATGCCTTAGGAATAAAGAGGGTGTTCTAGGAAAGAGGACAAAACCAAAATAGCCAAGCCCTAACAACGCTCAAGTCAATCTTCGATAATGGTGTTTTCTGGCTAATCAAGGAAAACCTAACACGTGTTGAGAGAATAAGAGAGCCAGAGACAGAGAGAGAGCAGGAGAGAGTGCATTATCCAGACTTGTTAAAATAGCTCATACTCAAAGTCCAGCATTAAATTAAAAACTTACAAAGCATGCTAAAAAAAACAAAACATCTGAAAAACAGTAGAAAGAAAGGCAATAGAAATAGCCCTATATTTGATTCAGATATTAAGAGTTTCAAATGGATTTAAAAATGACTGTGATTACTATGTCCAAAAAAATAAACAGATCATTGGAGAATTTCACCACAGAACTGCTATTTTTGTTTGTAAAAATGAGTCAAATTCTAGAACAATAAAAATAATATAACAAATTAATAATTCAAGTAGGTGCATTTAATAAGAGGTGATACATAGCAGAACACTCCAACAACAGCCCTCCATTCCTCCCAGAACTTTTGTATCCTTGTCTATGATGTAACTTAACTTCTGGGTCTCTTCCATGTCATCCTGCCATTTTTGCTTTATTGAGTTTCTTCTCTGGTGGTTTCCTCCTTAGAAAATTCAAGGATTCTCAGATTCTTGAGAGATCACCTCCTCTTCACCTCCATTTTCCTCATTTCTACTCAACAACCAACTGCTTGGGCTTAGAGCAGGGAACAGGCCACAGACTTATGTCTTAACAGACTTTCTTTTCCTTTTTGCGCCATTCTTTCTCCCATGCCAAAAAATCTCTATATTACATTGTATATTTTTCTTTCTTCTGTGGTCAGCTTTCACATCTCTTGATCTGAAATGGGCACAGAGATTCTATTTTAGAAATTAAAAATCTTTTTGTTCTGTTTGTTCTAGGATGCATTATTTTCTCTCATTGAAGCAGTAGCATAAGAATTACTGACATAATAAAATATGTTTCTGCAGGCAATGCAGCAGTAATGGCTGGGAATAAAATATATTACATAAAATTTGAAATGCTTTCCTGCCACACTTTGGTGTATACGTCCAGTGGACATTTTTGATGGAAGGTGAAACCCATAGGGTCATAATAAAGAAAATTTAAATTTAGATGGTCTTTTTTTGGCTTAGTCCTGAGATATTTCTTTGTTTATTTCCTATGGGGGAGCTACAAAGTAAAGGAAGAGTTCAATTACAGAGGGCATTTGAATTATACATCAAAGTGATATTAAGGAAAAAGTGAGGTTGATGTCTTGCTGAGGTATTCTTACATGATGTCGCTTATTAACTTTGTGAGCTAAGAAGTTCTTTATGTAATTCATAGTAAGTTTTAAGAAAATACTTTTACACATTAGTATAAAAAGACAGATATTGATGGAATCTAAATTATCTAGGTAGAGATCTATGAACATGTGATTTTCTTTGGGGAAGATCATGGTACATCTAAAATCACAAAATAAAACAACACCCAATTTGGCAAACAGCTAACGGAGTTTGCGTAGACGAAGGCTGTTGGGAATTACCGCCAGGGCATGTGTGCACCTAAGCTTTAGGGTAACTCAATGTTATCATAAGATAAATCCCTCTTAACCATCATTCTAAGTGATAACACATTTAAATCTTATGTTTTGTTTTTTTTATTTAGGTCCCACCAAAACTGAAAAAATAGAATCAGAGGTACATGTACGTGGTGAAGGTTTTAAGACTGTTGCAGCAACACGGTATGAAACAATAACAGCCATGACCAACCTGGCCATAGTAAACTGTCAAGTACATGGAAGAAATGCACTTAATCTTAAGGTATGCTAGGTCTTTTCAATGACAGTGTCCTCCATATTATCCATTATTTTGCTTTAGATTTCCCAGTATAAATTAGTTTCCATGATATTGAGGGGAACTTTCTTATTACAATAGAAATTTCTCAGGAAAACATTCAAATTGCATCTCTAACCCTATATCCCTAGTTTGCCTTCAGTTTAAAAAGATTCTGAGGCCCAAGTCAATCACAGTGCTTTTTTAATTACTTAGCATGATAAGAGAATTTGAATTCAGATTTATTGTATTTTTAAGTTATTAGCAATCTCTGGCTCTGTGACAAATCTAGTACTAGGATGGCTTTTCACTAAACACAAGCTCAGTATCATGAATAACAATATTAGTTATCATTTGTTAAGTAACCACTATGTGCCAATTACACATTACTCCTAAAACACAATTATGTAGTCCCAGCACTTTGGGAGGCTGAGGCGGGTGGATCACGAGGTCGGCAGATCGAGACTGTCCTGGTCAACATGGTGAAACCCCGTCTCTACTAAAAATTACAAAAAATTAGCTGGGCACGGTGGCGCGTGCCTGTAATCCCAGCTACTCAGGAGGCTGAGGCAGAAGAATTGCCTGAACCCAGGGGGCGTAGATTGCGGTGAGCTGAGATCGTGCCATTGCACTCCAGCCTGGGTAACAAGAGCGAAACTCTGTCTCGAAAAACAAAAACACAATTATGTAAAGTAGGTATTGTAATCTTCATTCTGCAGATAAGAACACTGAGGCTTAATGAAAGTAACTTGTATATGATCACATAGTAAACAAGTTGTAGAGCTTGGGTTTGAACCCAGAACTTTTTGGCCTCAAAATCTATGCTTTTTTATTTTAAATTTTGTTTTGAAATAAATTCTAACTCATAGAAAAGTTGTAAAAATTGGAAAAGCTACAGGGAGTTTGTTTGAAAAATCAGGGCATTAAAATAATACTCATATATACTGGAAAATTTGGAAAGCCAGATGCGTGGCGGGGGCCAGACGCATTCTTAGAAAAGACCTGAGAAGGCCCTCAGCTTGCACATCTGGCTGACCTCTAAATGCAGTACAAGCATGAAGTAAAACCTACGGCAGTTGTAAATGGCCTGGCTAAGCATTGAAGCAATTTCTTAGCACAGAATCCATCTGGAAAGATGGAATTCTCTCTCTCTCCTCCTCTCTCTATGTTCTATTGTATAAAGCAATCTCTGTTAAAACAATAACTGAACACAAGCTAAAGGGGCAGACTTTAAAGGAAACATGTGACAAAGAAGATAGCCATCACAAAAAGTGCATGTGGACTTCTGCCAAAATTTCCGAATAGGAACAGCTCAGGTCTGCAGTTCCCAGCAAGAGTGCACCAGAAGACGAGTGATCTTCACATTTCCAACTGAGGTACCAGGTTCATCTCATTAGGACTGGTTAGACAATGGGAACAGCCCAAGGTGGGCAAGCCGAGGCAGGGTGGGGCATCACCTCACCCGAGAGGTGCAAGGGGCCAGAGAAGTCTCTTTCCCAGCCAAATGGAGCCATTAGAGACTTTTCTGGACACTGCGGCACTCCAGCTCAGATACTGTGCTTTTCCCACAGTCTACAAAGCCCGCAGACCAGGAGATTCCCTCCCAGCTCAGATACTGCGCTTTTCCCACAGTCTACAAAGCCCGTAGATCAGGAAATTCCCTCCCAGCTCAGGTACTGCGCTTTTCCCACAGTCTACAAAGCCCGTAGACCAGGAGATTCCCTCCCAGCTCAGGTACTGCACTTTTCCCACAGTCTACAAAGCCCGTAGACCAGGAGATTCCCTCCCAGCTCAGGTACTGTGCTTTTCCCACAGTCTACAAAGCCCACAGACCAGGAGATTCCCTCCCAGCTCGGATACTGCACTTTTCCCACAGTCTACAAAGCCCTCAGACCAGGAGATTCCCTCCCAGCTCAGGTACTGCACTTTTCCCACCGTCTACAAAGCCTGCAGACCAGGAGATTCCCTCCCAGCTGAGATACTGCACTTTTCCCACAGTCTACAAAGCCCACAGACCAGGAGATTCCCTCCCAGCTCGGATGCTGCGCTTTTCCCACAGTCTACAAAGCCCACAGACCAGGAGATTCCCCCCCAGCTCGGATGCTGTGCTTTTCCCACAGTCTACAAAGCCCACAGACCAGGAGATTCCCTCCCAGCTGAGATACTGGGCTTTTCTCACAGTCTACAAAGCCCGCAGACCAGGAGTTTCCCTCCCAGCTCAGATACTGCGCCTTTCCCACAGTCTACAAAGCCCGCAGACCAGGAGATTCCTTCCCAGCTCAGGTTCTGTGCTTTTCCCACAGTCTACAAAGCCCACAGACCAGGAGATTCCCTCCCAGCTAGGATACTGCGCTTTTCCCACAGTCTACAAAGACGGCAGACCAGGAGATTCCCTCCCAGCTCAGATACTGTGCTTTTCCCACAGTCTACAAAGCCCGCAGACCAGGAGATTCCCTCCCAGCTCAGATACTGCGCTTTTCCCACAGTCTACAAAGCCCGTAGACCAGGAGATTCCCTCCCAGCTCAGGTTCTGTGCTTTTCCCACAGTCTACATAGCCCGCAGACCAGGAGATTCCCTCCCAGTTTAGATGCTGCGCTTTTCCCACAGTCTACAAAGCCCACAGACCAGGAGATTCCCTCCCAGCTCAGATACTGCGCTTTTCCCACAGTCTACATAGCCCGCAGACCAGGAGATTCCCTCCCAGCTTAGATGCTGCGCTTTTCCCACAGTCTACAAAGCCCACAGACCAGGAGATTCCCTCCCAGCTCAGATACTGCACTTTTTCCACGGTCTACATAGCCTGCAGACCAGGAGATTCCCTCCCATGCCTACAGTGCTAGTGCCCCAGGTTTCTAGCACAAAACTAAGGCAGCCGTTTTAGTCGAATGGCACCTTGAACGACAGAACTGCTCAATCTCCTGTGAAATGGGGCTGAAGCCAGGGAGCCAAGTGAGCTGGCTGGGCAGGTTCCACTCCCCACGAAGACCTGCAGGCTAAGGTCCGCTAGCTTGAGATTCTCACAGCCAGTAGAGCAGCAGTCTGAGCTCAACCTGGGATGTTCGAGTGTACTGGGGGGAGGGGCATCCTGTAGATGGTTTCAATGTCGCCTGTGTAAGCAAAGCCACCGACACCAGGAAGTTTACACAGCAACTGGGTGGAGCCCAGCACGGCAGCTCATCAAGGCCTCTGCAGGCAGACTGTGAAATAGATTCCCTTCTTACAGGGCAGGGCATCTCTGAAAAAAAAAAAAAAAAGACAGCAGCCTGTCATGGACCTTCAAAGCCTCCACCTTCCTGAGACAGAGCACCTGGGAAATGGGGCAGTTGTGGGTTCCACTTCAGCATACTTAAACATCCCTGCCTGGCAGCCCTGAAGGGAGCAACATATCTCCCAGCACAGTGCTTGAGCTCTGTTAAGGGACTTGCCTCCTCAAGTGGCTCCCTGACCCCCTGTGTATCCTAACTGGGAGACACATCATACAGGAGAGCTCTGGCTGACATCTGGCAGGTACCCTTTGGGACGAAGCTACCAGAGGAAGGAACAGGCAGCAATCTTTGCTGTTCTGCAGCCCCTATGGGTGATTCCCAGGCAAGCAGCGCCTGGAGTGGACCTCCAGCAAACTGCAGCAGACCTGCAGCAGAGGGGCCTGACTGTTAGAAGGAAAACTAACAAACAGAAAGAAATGGCTTTAACATCAACAGAAAGGAAGTCCACTCAGAGTCTCCATCCAAAAGTCACCAACTTTAAAGACCAAAGGTAGATAAATCCACAAAGATGGGAAGAAACCAGCTAAAAAAAGACTGAAATTGCCAAAAACCAGAATGTCTCTTCTCCTTCAAGGGATCACAACTCCTCACCACCAAGGGAGCAAAACTGGATAGAGAATGAATTTGATGAATTGACAGAAGCAAGCCTCAAAAGGTGGGTTAAAAAACTTCTCTGAGCTAATGGAGCATGTTCTAACCCAATGTAAGGAAACTGAGAACCTTGAAAAAAGGTTAGATGAAATGCTAACTAGAATAACCAGTGTAGAGAAGAACATAAACGACTTGATGGAGCTGAAAAACACAGCACAAGAACTTTGAGACTCATACACAAGTTTCAATAGCTGAATCAATCAAGCGGAAGAAAGGATATCAGAGATTGAAGATCAACTTAATGAAATAAGGTGAGAAGGCAAGATTAGAGAAAAAAAATTAAATGTACAAAGTCTCCAAGAATTATGGGATTATATGAAAAGACTAAATCTATGTTTGATTGGTGTACCTGAATGTGACAGGGAGAATAAAACAAAGTTGGAAAACACTCCAGGATATTATCCAGGAGAATTCCCTCAACTTCGCAAGGCAGGCCAACATTCAAATACAGGAAATACAGAGAACACCACAAAGGTATTCCTTGAGAAGAACAACCCCAAGGCACATAATTGTCAGATTCACCAGGGTTGAAATAAAGGAAAAAGTGCTAATGTTAGCCAGAGTGTTATCCACAAAGGGAAGCCCATCAGACTCACAGCGGATCTCTTGGCAGAAACCCTACCAGCCAGAAGATCAAACAAATTCAAAAGCTAGCAGAAGGCAAGAAATAACTAAGATCAACGCAGAACAGAAGGAGATAGAGACACAAAAAACCCTTCAAAAAATTAGTAAATCCAGGAGCTAGCTGTTTTTTTGAATAGATCAACAAAATAGACTGCTAGCCAGACTAATAGAAAAGAGAAGAATCAAATATATGCAATAAAAAGTGATAAAGGGGATATCATCACCGATCCCACAGAAATACAAACTATTATCAGAGATTACTACAAACACTTCTATGCAAATAAACCAGTAAATCTAGAAGAAATGGTTAAATTCCTGGACACTTATACCCTCCCAAGCCTAAACCAGGAAGAAGTTGAATTCCTGAATAGACCAATAAGAAGGTCTGAAGTTGAGGCAGCATTTAATAGCCTACCAACCAAAACAAGTCCAGGACCAGACAAGTTCACAACTGAATTCTACCAGAGGTACAAAGAGGAGTTGGTACAATTCCTTCTGAAACTATTCCAAATAATACAAAAAGAGGGAATCCTTCCTAACTGATTTTATGAGACCAACATAATCCTGATACCAAAACCTGGCAGAGATGCAACTAAGAAAGAAAATTTCAGGCCAATATCCATGATGAACATTGATGCAAAAATCTTCAATAAAATACTGGCAATCCAAATCCAACAGCATATCAAAAAGCTTACCCATCACAATCAAGTTGGCTTCATCCCAGGGATGCAAGGCTGGTTCACCATCTGCAAATTTATAAATGTAATTCATCACATAAACAGAACCAAAGACAAAAATTACATGATTATCTCAATATATGTGGAGAAGGCCTTTGAAAAAATTCAATGGCTCCTTATGCAAAAAACTCTCAATAAACTAGGTATCGATGGATCATATCTCAAAATAATAAGAGCTATTTATGACAAACCCACAGCCAGTATTATACTGAATGGGCAAAAATTGGAAGCATTCCCTTTAAAAACTGGCGCAAGACAAGAATGCCCTTTCTCACCACTCCTATTCAACACAGTATTGGAAGTTCTGGCTAGAGCCATCATGCAAGAGGAAGAAATAAAGGCATTCAAATAGGAAGAGAAGACGTTAAATTGTCCCTGTTCCCAGATGCCATGATTATATATTTAGAAAACACCATTGTCTCAGCCCCAAATCTCCTTAAGGTGATAAGCAACTTCACCAGTCTCAGGATACAAAAATCAGTGTGCAAAAATTGCAGGCATTCTTATACACCAATAATTGAAAAATAGAGAGCCAAATCATGATTGAACTCCCATTCACAATTGCTACAAAGAGAATAAAATACCTAGGAATACAACTAACAAGTGATGTGAAGGACCTCTTCAAGGAAAACTACAAACTACTGCTCAAGGATATAAGAGAGGACACAAATGGATGGAAAAACATTCAATGGTCATGGTTAGGAAGAATCAATATCAGGAAAATGGCCATACTGCCCAAAGTAATTTATAGATTCAGTGCTATCCCCGTCAGACTATCAATGATTTTATTCACAGAATCAGAAAAAAACACCTTAAACTTCATATGGAACCAAAAAAGAGCATGCATAGCCAAGACGATCCTAAGCAAAAAACAAAAACAAAAACAGAAAACTTGCAGGCATCACACTACCTGACTTCCAACTGCATTACAAGGCTACTGTAATCAAAACAGCATGGTACTGGTACCAAAACAGAGATATAGAACAATGGAACAAAACAGAGGCCTCAGAAAGAACGCCACACAACTACAATCATCTTATCTTTGACAAACCTGATAAAAACAAGCAATGGAGATAGGATTCCCTATTTAATAGTGTTGGGAAAGCTGGCTAGCCAGATGCAGAAAGCTGAAACTGGAACCCCTCCTTACACCTTACACAAAAATTAACTCTAGATGGATTAAAGATTTAAACATGAGACCTAACACCATAAAAACTCTAGAAGAAAACCTAGGCAATACCATTCAGGACATAGGCATGGGCAAGGACTTGCATGACTAAGACACCAAAAGCAATGGCAGCAAAAGCCAAATAGACAAATTGGATCTAATTAAACTTAAGAGCTTCTGCACAGCAAAAGAAACTATCAATAGAATGAACCAACAACCAACAGAATGGGAAAAAAGTTTTGCAATCTACCCATCTGACAAAGGGCTAATATCCAGAATCTATGGAGAACTTAACAAATTTACAAGAAAAAAACAAACCCTTCAAAAAGTGGGCAAAGGATATGAACAGACACTTATCAAAAGAAGAAGACATTTATGCAGCTAACAAACATATGAAAAAAGCTCATCATCACTGGTCATTAGAGAAATGCAAATCAAAACCATATTGAGATACCACCTCATGCCAGTTAGAATGGTGATCATTAAAAAAAATCAGGAGACAACAGATACTGGAGAGGATGTGGAGAAATAGAAGCACTTTTACACTGTTGGTGGGAGTGTAAATTAATTCAACCATTGTGGAAGACAGTGTGGTGATTCCTCAAGGATCTAGAAATAGAAATAGCTTTTGATACAACAATCCCATTATTGGGTATATACCCAAAGGATTGTAAATCATTCTATTATAAAGACACAATCACACATACGTTTATTGTGGCACTGTTTACAATAGCAAAGACTTGGAACCAACCCAAATGCCCATCAAGGATAAACTGGATAAAGAAAATGTGGCATATATACACCATGGAATACTATGCAGTCATAAAAATGGATGAGTTCATGTCCTTTGCAGGGACATGGATGAAACTGGAAACCATCATTTTTAGCAAACTGACACAAGAACAGAAAACCAAACACCACATGTTCTCACTCATAAGTGGGTGTTGGACAATGAGAACACATGGACATAGGGAGGGGAATATCACACACTGTGGCCTGGGTGGGTGGGGCATTAGGGGAGGGATAGCATTAGGAGAAATACCTAATGTAGATGACAGGGTGATGAATGCAGCAAACCACCACCATGGCACATGTATACCTATGTAGCAAAGCTGCACAATCTGCACATGTATTCCAGAACTTAAAGTATAATAAATAAAATTTTTTAAAAAAGAAAAGTGCATGTATTAGTTGATGCATTAATTTGATTCAAATAGTATAATACAAAGATCTGATTTTTTGTATTTAATTAGCAAGACATTATCCCAGCATTATAAATTGTTATAGCAATAGCCCTCAATTTAATCATGGATGTGTGTATCCATGCTCTTGAGAATACTAAAATCCATTTACATTTGGCTTGGTCACATGACTTGCTTTGGACAGCAATCACTGGGGTAATGGTATATGTGACACAAGGAGGAACTTCAACGTGCTTCTGCTTTGGAATATACCTTACTTTGCTGTTTCTGTAAAAACTGTTAATCACCCCCATGCGAATGATCCCCAGGCTAGCCTGATGGTCATAGATACAGATGATAGGGAGCAGTGACCCCCAGACCTGTGGGTTAGTTCATTCTAGACAAATTGTCCCTAGGCTGACTGAAGGTGATGTGGATGCTCAAACATTACCAGTGGAAAAACTACCCACCTGATTCAAACCCATACTGACAAATGCACAGAAATGATTCTCATTTTCAGGCATTGAGTTTTCAGTTAAGTTATTTCACAGCAAAAGCAAAGAATGAAATCCAACTGTAAATTGTTTGTTAACACAATACTGCAAAGTCAGTTGAGTGTAAGGATTGCCATTTGATATTATTTATTAAATAGTGTCTAATCATTCTAAAAAAAACACAAACAAGAAAGAATACAGACTTCACAAAAAAAAGTTTAGAAAATTATTAACCTAGGGCCGGGCACGATGGCTCAAGCCTGTAATCCCAGCACTTTGGGAGGCCGAGGCGGATGGATCACGAGGTCAAGAGAGTAAGACCATCCTGGTTAACATGGTGAAACCCCGTCTCTACTAAAAATACAAAAAAAAAAAAAATTTAGCTGGGCATGGTGGCGCGTGCCTGTAATCCCAGCTACTCGGGAGGTTGAGGCAGGAGAATTGCCTGAACCCAGGAGGCAGAGGTTGTGGTGAGCCGAGATCGTACCATTGCACTCCAGCCTGGGTAACATGAGTGAAACTCCATCTCAAAAAAAAAAAAGGCTGGGTGTGGTGGCTCACGCCTGTAATCCCAGCACTTTGGGAGGCTGAGGCATGTGGATCACGAGGTCAAGAGATCGAGACCATCCTGGTCAACATGGTGAAACCCCATCTCTACTAAAAAATACAAAAACTTAGCTGGGCACGGTGGCACGTGTCTGTAATCCCAGCTACGCGGGAGGCTGAGGCAGGAGAATTGCCTGATCCCAGGAGGCGGAGGTTGCGGTGAGCCGAGATCGCGCCATTGCACTCCAGCCTGGGTAACAAGAGAGAAACTCGGTCTCAAAAAACAAAAAGAAAATTATTAACCCAATAACTATAGCTCATATCAAGCCTACAGAAATCTGGAGCTAAAGAATATAATAACTGAAATGAATATCTCACTGAAAGATTTCAATAGTAGATTTAGTCAGGCAGAATAATAATAGCACTATAAGCCAAAACAACAAAAACAAACCCTAAAGAGGTGGAAAATGTAATTTCCAGAATTAACATATTATAATAATTAAGATGTCCAGTTCCAGTTTTTAACAAAAATTATGGAATATGCAAAAAATATGGCTTGTTCACATAAGAAACTAACATAAACTGTATCTATTTTTTAATGTCAGATAAGTAATGTGCCAGTGTCATAACAAGGCTTGATAGAGGCACATCTTATTCATGAGCATAAAAAGCCAATCATTATACTTATGAACTACTAAAGGATTAGAAACTACCTCTAAGGAAGCACAGACATTGGACTTAAAGACTTACATTTAAAGGTTTTTAAATAAACTGTCTTAAATATATTCAAACTGCTAAATGAAACTATGGACAGACTTGCTGGAAAAAGGACTTTAAATAAACTGTCTTAAATATGTTCAAACTGCTAAATGAAACTATGGACAGAGAGCTAAGGAAAATCAGGAGAATAGCGTGTAAACAGATTTTAATAAAGAGATGGAAATGTCAAAAGGAACAAAAACCCAAAAAATTCTGGAGCTGAAAACTACATTACCAAAATAAAAACTTCCTGAGAAAGTTTCAATAGTAGGAATATTGATCAGGCAGAATAAAGAATCACAGAACTAGAAAATACGTCAAATTGAAATGATCACATATGAAGAAAAGAAAGAAAAAAAAATAAAGAAAAATGAACAGAGCCTAAGTGACCTCTAGGACATAATTAAGTATACACACATACATATAATGGAGTCTCAGAAAAAAAAAAAAAAAACGGAGAGAGAGAGAAGAAAGAAGGTCAGAAAAAATATTTAAAGAAATAAAGGCCAAAAACATTCCAAATTTGATTAAAAGCACAAATCTACATACAGGAAGCTCAACAATCTCCAAGAAGGATAACTGCCAAGAGATCCACAATGAGACATAATATCTAATTGTCAAAAGCCAAAGTCAAAGAAAGAATCTCGACAGCAGCAAGCAAGAAGTGTTTTGTCATGTACAAGCTATCTACAATGAAATTAACAGCCAGTTTGTTACCAGAAACTATGGAGGCAAGAAAGGAATGGGATGCCACTTCAATAGTGCTGAAAGAAAAGCAGTTTGTCAACCAAAAGTCTATACCCAGAAAATCTATCCTTCAAAAACAAGAGTAATTAAGACATTCCCAATAAGCAAAAGCTGAGGGCATTTGTTGCCAGTACACCTGCCCTGTAAGAAATGCTAGAGAGTTGTTCAGGCTACAGTGAGAGGACATTAGACAGCAACCCAAAGTCTTAAGAAGAAATAAATAACTCTGATGAAGGTAACTACACAGGTAAATATACAAGTCAGTATTACTTTGGTTTTGCTTTGTATTACTTTTTCTTTCTTATATCACTTAAAAGACAAATGCATAAACATAATTATAAATATATATTAATGGATACACAATGTATAAAGATTTATGACAAAACTGAAGGGAGATGAAGCTGTATAGGAACAGAGATTATGTGTGCCATTGAAGTTAATTTGGTATCAATCCAAACTAGATTATTGTAAATTTAGGATGCCAAGTGCAGTCCCCATGGTAACTACTACTGATAAACCATATTAAAATATACACAAAAGGAAGTGAGGAAGGAATTATTCTGGTACGTTGTAGAAAATTAATTAAATACACAAAAGGCTCTAATGAAGGGAATGAACAAAACCAACAAGGACAATACATTCTAGAAAAGGAGAAGAGTGTGAAGGCATTAAAAAGATCGGTGGTTGTCAGGGTTGTGGCAGAAGTGAAGAAAGGGTGAATAGGAGAAGCATAGGTGATATTCAGAGCAGTGGATCTGTATGATACTGTAATGATGAATCTATTTTCTTATGCATTTTGAAGACCCATAGAATATATAACACAAGGTGTGAACTATAATTTAAACTGTGGACCTGGGTAGATATTGATGTGCTAATTTTTGTTCATTGATTGTAATCAATGTACCAACATGGTGTACAAGATGTTAATGTAGGGAGAAGGCTATAGGTACCCGAGGGAAAGGAGTATGTGGAGAAGATAAATCTCAAAGTAAGAATTTAACTTTACACCTTAAAAAACTTGTACAAAGAAAGTAAACTAAACCCAAAGTTAACAGAAAGTAGAAAACAAAAATAAAGCAGAGATAAATGAAACAGATAATAGAAAAACAGTAGAGAAAATCAATGAAAACAAAGGTAGATTATTTGTAAAGATTAACAAGATAAATCCTTAGCTAGACCAAATAAAAAGAGATAATATACAAGTAACTAAGATTAGTCATGAAAATTGAGATATTACAACTGGCTTTACAAAAATAAAGGGGATTATAAGAAAATATTATAAATTATTGTATGCCAATGAATTATATAACCTAGGTTAAGTGGAAACATTTCTAGAAAAACACAGATTACCAAAACTGACTCAAGAACAAATAAAAATCTGAACAGACCTTTAACAAGTAATGAGATGAAATCAGATTAACCAAAAACTTCCAGACAAAGTAAAATCCAGGACTAGATGGACCTAATTTCAGGCAACCCTAATTTCAGAGAAAACAGATTTTAAACCAACAAAGATCAAAAAAGACAAACAAGGGCATTACACAAATGTTAAAGGTCTCAGTTCAACCAGAAGATGTAACTATCCTAAATATATATGCACCCAACACAGGAGCACCCAGATTCATAAAGCAAATTATTAGATATCTACCCAGAGACTGAGACTCCCTCACAATGATAGTGGGAGACATCAGCACTCCACTAACAGAATTAGACAGATTATCAAGGCAGAAAATTAACGAAGATATTTGACATTGGACAAAAATGAATCTGATAGATGTTTACAGAATTCTCTACCCCCAAAACAACAGAATTCTTCTCAATGCCATATGACACATACCCTAAAACGAACCATGTAACTGGACACAAAACAACCCTCAGCAAATGCAAAATGACTATATTAGTACATTGTCTTACTGCTATGAAGAAATACCCAAGACTGGGTAATTTGTAAAGAAAAAGAGGGTTAATGGACTAACAGTTCCACATGGCTAGAGAGGCCTCACAATCATGGTTGAAGGCAAAGAAGAAGCAAAGACACATCTTACATAACAGTAGGCAAGAGAGCATGTGCAGGGGAACTGCCCTTTATAAAACCATCAGCTCTCATGTGACTTATTCACTTTCACCAGAGCATCATGGGAAAAATCCACCCCTATGATTCATTTACCTCCCACCAGATCCCTCCCATGATACATGGTGATTATGGAAGATACAATTCAAGGAGAGATTTTGGTACAGACACAACAAAACCATGTCAATAACCGAAATTATACCAAATACAATTTTGGACCATAGCACAGTAAAAATAGAAGTTAAGACTTTTAAAATCACTCAAACCATGCAATTACATGAAAATCGAATGACATGCTCCTGAATGACTTTTGGGCAAATCTGATATTAAATCAAAGTTCTTTTATATTAATGAGAATAAAAATACAACATATTAGAATCTCTAGTACACAGCTAAGGCAGTGTTAAGAGGGAAATTCACAGCACTAAATGCCCTCATCAAAAATTTAGAAAGATGTTAAATTAGTAACCTATCATTAAAACTGAAAGAACTAGAGAAGCAAAAGCAAACCAACCTCAAAGCTAGAAGAAGACAAGAAATGAACAAAATCAGAGCTGAACTAAAGGAAACTGAGACACAAAAATGAATTCAAAAGATCAGTGGAACCAGGAGTTGGTGTTTTGAAAAAAAAACTAGGCCACTAGGTATGCTAATAAAGAAGAAAGGGAAGATCCAAATAAACACAATTAGAAATGGCAAAGGGGAAGTTACACATGACCCCACAATAATAGAAATAATGATCAGAAATTACTACAAACACCTTTATGCACACAAACTAGAAAACCTAGAAGAGATAGGTAAATTCCCAGACACATACATCCTCCCAAGACTGAATCAGGAAGAAATTGATTCTCTTAACAGACCAATAATGAGTTCCAAAACTGATCAGCAATAAATAGCCTACAATCAAAAAAAGCCCAGCACCACATGGATTCACAGCTGAATTCTACCAGATGTACAAAGAAGAGCTTGTACACTTTCTGGTGAAACTATTCCAAAAACATTGAGGAGGAGGGACTCCTCTCTAACTCATTCAGTGATGTCAGCATCATCCTGATACCAACACCTGGCAGAGACACAACAACTATTGTGAAAATGACAATGCTGCCAAAAACAATCTACAAATTCAATGCAATTCCCATCAAAATACCACCATCATTATTCACATAGAACTAGAAAAAAAAAAATCCAAAAATTCATATGGAACCAAAAAAGAGCTCACATAGCCAAAGTAAGACTAAGAAAAAAGAACACATCTGGACATATCACATTACCCGACTTCAAACTATAAGACAAGGCCATAGTCACCAAAACAGCATGGTACTGGTATCAAAATAGGCACATAGGCCAATAGAACAGAATAGAGAACTCAGAAATAAAGACAAATACCTGTGGCCAACTGCTGTTTGACAAAGCAAACAAAAACATAAAGCAAGGAAAGGACACTCTTTTCAAATCAATTGAAGGGTGGTTGAGTTAAGGCACATATTGTGATCTTTAAAGAAGTCACTTTTTTATTTTAGAGTCTTGCTCCATTGCCAGGCTGGAGTGCAGTGGTGCCATCTTGTCTCACTGCAACCTCCACCTCCCAGGTTCAATCGATTCTCCTGCTTCAGCTGGGACTACAGACCTGTGCCACCACGCCCAGCTAATTTTTGTTTTTTTTTTGTTTGTTTGTTTTTGTTTTTAGTAGAGATGGGGTTTCACCTTTTGGCCAGGATAGTCTCCATCTCTTGGCCTCATGATCTGCCGGACTTAGCCTCCCAAAGTGCTGAGATTACAGGCATTAGCCACCATACCTGGCCAAAGAAGTTTACCAAAATGGTAAACTTTAGCCTAAACACATTAATAATTTTGTTAAATGTAAATGGATTAAATACCACAATAAAATAATAGAGATTGTTAAACTGGCTAATGAAGTATGACTCAATTATTTGCTATTTACAAGAAGCATACTTACATAAAGACGCTGATGATCAAAAAGTAAAACTGGAAAAAGATAACAGTAGGCATTGTAAAGTTCTTATGGCTGTATTAGCCGACTAAGTAGAAAATAATACTAAAGAAATAGAGTATTACCAAGTGTAAAGAGAGGTTTGAAATGTTTAAAGAGTCAACTCATCAAGAAGACAGAACAGGCCGGGCGCGGTGGCTTAAGTCTGTAATCCCAGCACTTTGGGAGGCCGAGGTGGGTGGATCACGAGGTCTAGAGATCAAGACCATCCTGGTCAACATGGTGAAACCCCGTCTCTACTAAAAATACAAAAAATTAGCTGGGCATGGTGGCGCGTGCCTGTACTCCCAGCTACTCAGGAGGCTGAGGCAGGAGAATTGCCTGAACCCAGGAGGCGGAGGTTGTGGTGAGGCAAGATCGCGCCATTGCCCTCCAGCCTGGGTAACAAGAGCGAAACTCCGTCTCAAAAAAAAAAAAAAAAAAGAAGAAGACAGAACAATCTAAATATGTATAAATATCATTAGAATGCCTCAAAATTCATAAAGCAAAATTTGACAAAACTAAGTAAGAAGTAGATCAATTCACTATCATAATTGGAAATTAGACTTTAACATATCTTGGTCAGGAATTGATATGTGTAGTCAAAAACAATTCAATAAATATACAGAAGATCTGAAATAACTCCAGCAACTAACGTGACCTAATTAACATTTATAGAATGATACATCCACCAGCTGCAGAATAAACATTACTTTTTAGGTACACATAGAACAATTTCAAGACAGAACATATGTTGGGCCATAAAATATGTCTCAGGAAATTTTTAAAGATTGAAATATTGTAGTTCTCATACCACAAAAGAAATAAAATAGAATCAGTCACAGTAAGTTATCTAGAAAAGTACCAAATATTTGTGCTAAATATTAATTTAAATATTAAAAAGCACTAAGTGTTTGGAAATCAAACAACACACTAATTAAAAAATAGGTCAAGAAAGAAAACACAAAGGAAATTGAAATATTTTGAATTGAATGACAATGAAGACAGTACAGAAACTGGCATATTTAACAAGAAGTTTCAGGTAGATGCTAGATTAGTAGACGGAACACAGAGAAATAGAGGTAGAGATATAAAAGGGAGGTAAAGAAGATTACTAAAGATAAAATAGATTCAATTATATTTCAGCACATAGCAGGCACCCAATATTTGCTTGTTATTGATTGAAATAATTCTGTCACACATACTACACTTACCACATACATAAATACTTATTGTGTAATATGGTTTGGATCTGTGTCCTCACCAAATCTCATGTGAAATCATAATCTCCAGTGTTGCAGGTGGGGCCTAGTGGGAGGTGACTGGCTCAGGGAGATGGATTTCCCCCTTGACGCTGTTCTCCTGATAGCAAGTGAGTTCTCATGAGATCTGTTAGTTTTAGAGTACGTGGCACCTCCCACCTCTTCCTCCTGCTCTGGCCACATAAGACTGCTTCACCCTTCACCTTCTGCTATGATTATAAGTTTTTTGAGGCCTCCCCAGAAGCCAAGTAGGTGCTGCCATGCTTTCTGTATAGCCTGGAGAACCATGAGCCAATGAAACCTCTTTTCTTTATAAATTACCCAATGTCAGTTATTCCTTTACAGCAGTGTGAGAACAGACTAATACATAGTGTTTCTACTTTTTTTCTATCTTTTACTTACCAAGGAAATTATTTTCTTCACAGGCTGAAAAAAAAATGAATGGGAGATGAGTATAGGCTTGTTAGTACATTGTGTAAAACATTCTCATTCAAATTATGTTCTCATTTTGTTTTACCCTTGTATAAACTATTTTGTGCATTGTTAATGACTAACATCTTATCTCTTGTCACTTTCTTTTAGGGCTTTTTTATCCTAAATTGTCCAGACTTAACACCTTTGGCTTCCCAGTTGATATATCTTAATTTATCATTTAATGATCTTCGTTATTTTCCCACAGAAGTGAGTCCATTTGCATTGTTAGGTACTGTTATAACTTATTGTGAATAATAATTATAAAAAATAGACATCTTTTAATACCTTGAAGTTACTATAAAGTACTGTAAATGTATTTTGGATTGCATCTTTTAGATGGCTTATTTTCAGAAGTACAAAATGTACAGTACATCTTTCTTAGAAAGTCCCATGATATAATCCTCAAAAACTATGTTATAGTGAGGCTCTCAAATGTGTTCTCATAATCATATAATGTATATTAAGTATTTATTCTTCTAACTCTGAATATAATCTAAAATAAACCTTATTTATGTGCTAATCAGAAGTTTTAAAAACAAAGTAATCATGCACTGTTGTAACAAGTTTTAATTACCAAAGGATAAAATATAATATTCTGCTTAATAAAATGTATGAAGGATAATCAAATATGGGATGAGCTAATTTAATGTCTTTTTAAGTGAATGAACCATTGCAAGTAATTAGGACAGATCGTGTTTTTAGTGTCTTTAGTCATTGCTTCATTGATTACTGGGTAATTGGTGGTTTTGTACATTGATTTCCAGAGTATTGTCTTTTAGTAAGTTCATTTTTGACAAATGTACTTTCTTCCTATTTCAATTATATAGTATTGAAAATATTATTTTCCATACTTTCTCTGTTATATATTGTTTTTATTTTCAGTAGGAGAAGCTATTTCTTTTCTAATACATAACATCAGTTTTATTAATTTAACTAGGACAAATTGACAAGAATTCCCAAGGAATATAGAGATCTGAGTTCTTCACACTAATTTAACCTTTCTTCTAAGTAGATACAGATAATACATGTGTATCTGCCAAAGAATACTAGTCACTAAAAAGTAATGTATGAAGACAAGAGAGCTAGTCACATGTAAGATATTAAAGTGCTCATTATTAAAGTGATAGAAATCAACTTGTCATGAACATGCAGATCTGTGTTATATAGCTATAGATAAAACATTCCAATGAGGATGATAATTTCAGGCTTAGAAAGACTGTTTTGGGGACAGGCTAATGAGGCTCTGTTATAGAATACTGGGGACAGGTAAGTGGGGTGATTTGAATTATTACTGGTTTCATGGAAAATTGAGGATGCTTGAGTCAGGCAGAGTGCAGCAGCCACTAAAATGGTTTAGGATGGGAGAAGGTAGAGGCAGAAATGTTAAATAACGAAGATTAGTATAGCAAACCCCTATATACATATACTCAGTCTTCTTTAAGATTCTTTAATAGTCATAAAATCATATATAGTAAAAATTACAATAAGGTATTGTTAGATCTGTAACATATATGCATATATACATAGAAATCATAGATAAAAAAGAAGGAATTGAATAGTATGAAGAACATTTTCATATCTCACTGGAATTAAATTAATATAAATCTGAAGTAAATTCTGATAAGGTGTATATCCTCTAAACAATCACTAATAAAATAGCTCGAAAACATACTGAAAAAAATTATTGAAGTAACAAAATGTTACACTAGAACATATTCACTTCATGCAAAAGAAGGCAGTAGAGGCGGAATTAAAAGAACATATGACATATCGAAAGCTAAAAGTGAAATGACAGATGTAAATCCAATCATGTCAATAATGACATTAAATGTGAATATATCAAAAAATCCAATCAAAATATACAGATTGTCAGACTGTATAAAATTATGCAAGTTTTTATACAGATTCAGTGATATGCTCTCTCCTGGAAACACACTTAAGATTGAAAGAAACATAAGATTGAAGAGATTGAAGCCAAAAGCATGAGAAAATATATATCATGTGAACAGCAACAATAGGAAAGCTGAAGAGACTATACTAATATCAGACGAAATATACTTCAAAGCAAAAAAAAGTTACTAGAGATAAAAAGGAACATTTTGTCAATTTATCAGATAATGGAACATTATAAGCAAATGTTTATTTAATATGAGAGCCCCAAAGTATATGAAGCAAAAACTGAAAGAATTGGAGGAAAAAATAGAAAATTCAACTATAATAATCGGACACTTCAACATCCCACCTTCAATAGTGCATAGAAAAAATTAAGCAGCAGAAGAAGAGGGAAACAGAAGAACTGAGCAACACTAAACCAATTAGGGCTAATAAATCTGTGTGGAATTTTTTTGGTCTAACTCAAACCAACAGCAGCAGAATATACAATTCTCAAGTTTATATAACATTTTTCAAGATAAATCATATGTTAGACTACAAAATAAGTCTCAATAAGTTTAAAATGATTGAAAATCACAAAAGTCTATTTTTGGCTACAATGGAATTAAATTATAAAAAAACTGAAAGAAACTTGGAAATTCACAAATATATGGAAATTAAGCAACATACTTCTAAATAACCAGTGGGCCAAAGAATAAGTTAAAATGAAATTAGAAAATATATTTAGATAAATGAAAAAACAATTTCTGAGATGCATTACAGAGTACTCAGAGGGAAATTTAGAGTTGTAAATGCCTGTAGTTTTTTAAAAAGAAGAAATCTCTAACTAACGTTTCATGTAAAGCCACTAGAAAAAAAAGAGTAAATTAAACCTAAACAAAGAATAAGCAAGGAGATAGTGACTATTAGTACAGAACTTAGTGAAATAGAAGACAGAAAAACAGAGAAAGTTTAAAAAACAAAAGTTATTACTTTTAAAAAAAATCAACAAAATGGACAAATCTTATGTAGACTGACCAAGAAAAAAAACACAGGAGACATATATTACTAAAGACAAGGATGAAGGAAGAAACATCACTACCGACCTTATAGAAATTAAAAATATTTAAAGAAAATAGTATAAATAACTGCATACCAACCAATTAAGTAACTTAGGGGAAATGAACACATTTCTACAAAGACACAAGAGGGGACTTTAGAAAATATGAACGGCTCCATCACCTTAAAATTTATACAGAAATGCAAAGGATTCCAAAGAGCCAAAATAATTTTGAAGAGAAAGGCAAACTTGGAGGACTGATGGTTCCGGTTTACAAGAATGAACTTGTTCTGCTTCACCAATTTCAGACCGTTATGATGATAACAAGGTTGAGCTCAAGGTTAAAGAGAATTAATAAAAGACCTTATTAATATTCACAGAGAAATACATGAATCAAGTAAAGGTCATAGATTTATTTTTTTTTCAAAATTTGTGTAAATTTAAGAGGAAGATAATAGATTTAAATGGTATGTTCTGTTTTTAAATTTCCCATGAAAAATCAGTGTACCTGAAATTACTGTGATATCAGAAATAATCTGGCTATGATACTGACACTTCTCAATCACTAAGGTTAATTCCACCTATCTTCCTGGTTCTGCAGCTATCTCCTTCCTCCCTCATTATTCTGTGATTCCCTCCTATGAAAGGGTGACTTTCACATGTAGAAAAGAACCATTCTTGAGTCGAGGTGTATGGTACAGAAGTTGCACTATTTCACCATACGATACATATTAAAGCTGGTCCCTTATATTGAAGGTTGACCCAGGGTGTTTACTGAGTTACATGAAACAGCCAATTAACTGACTATAATGATTCTACTACAGTAGCTCAGGGAATTTATAAAAGGTAACAAATAATCATGTGCATAATTTATTATTCCACTCACATTTGTTTCTCTTTTTTATTCCCCAGATATTGTGTCTTAAAAATTTACAAATACTGAAATTGAGAAATAATCCTATCAAAGAAATTCCTTCTGAAATTCAACAACTTAAGTTCCTTAGAATCTTCACCATTGCCTTTAATTTCATTACTGTTCTTCCACCTGGGTAAGGTTGATGGTCTGAGATTATAAACACAGAAAATAATTTATAATTTTGAAAAAGATCAGTTTCCCCTTTAAAAGCAGCTAACAGCTTTTTGGCTATTTAGTAATTCCTTTTCTGTTGTAATTTGCTAATATGCTTCTTGTTACAGTGTTAAAAACAATCCTACCAGCTACATACAGATCAGTTAATATGGGTCTAGTGAATATACATCTAGAAGTACATTATCTGAGTGTGGGTTAAATTAACAGGAATTACCTAAAATAGTTCAGATGAGAGCCTTGCACCTATCTCTTGACAGCCTTTGTGGATACGGAAAGAGCACTGAATGTGGAATTAGGAAATCTAGACCTTTGACTGTAAAGGTGATGATAATTATATATTTGATCTGGAGAAAGTAATTTAACCATTCTTGGCCTCAATTTCCTAATCTGGAAACTATGGAGATTGGCTTATATGATATCTAAGACCCTTTCAACTCCATAGGAGTACTGATATTTGGACATAAAAGAGATGGATTTCTTCCCATATATGGAATAGTGATTATTTAATTCCTAATGAAAGTTTTAAACCAAAACCTTAAGCAACTGTCAAAGCAAGATACTTTTTACAATTAGAGTTTAACAGATTGAATCTCTAAGCACAAAAAGAAAGGAACTCATAAATAGTTGAATAATACTTTGCAAAATAAGAGTCTTATAGTAATTAAGAACGTGCATCCAGGCCTAGGCGGGCGGATCACAAGGTCAAGAGATCGAGACCATGTTGAAACCCGGTCTCTACTAAAAAATACAAAAATTAGCTGGGCGTGGGGGCGCGTGCTTGTAATCCCAGCTACTTGGGAGTCTGAGGCAGGAGAATTGCTTGAACCATGGAGGAGGAGGTTGCAGTGAGCCAAGATCAGGCCACTGCACTCCAGCCTGGCGCCTGGTGACACAGCAAGACTCTGTCTCAAAAAAAAAAAAAAAGAAAGAAAGAAAGTGCATCCAGATTCTTTTATAAAGATGTTCATTTAGTATTGTTTGTTATGATCCAACAAATTGTATATTCATAGACATTCAGCTATTTAAAAGAATAAGAAATTATATTTAAAAAATTATACCATTTCTGTATAAAATACATATACATGTTACCCATTACACATCACATATATAAAAAGAAAGAATAAACACTAAAGAAGTAAGAATGTTACATATGGGTATTTTATTTCTCTTTGACTCATCTGTATTTTTCCACAGTACATAAATTGTATTTTCCCAGCCCTAATACTAGTATCAGCCATTTCTCTAAGGAGATCCTGTTTCGTTTTATTGGAAAATGGTATTTAAAAGCCAAGATCTGGGTGCTGGGTGTCCTTCATCACCATTAGGATGTGATTCCTTCTAGGCCCTCTCATTAGAGAGAGCAAAGTAATATATGTATGTATACTAACCCGTGTTTACACACATATCTCTAATTGCTTATATAGCTATAAACACATATACAATTACATATATACACACAGAACTGTATACATATAAATATATATGTACATATACAGCATCTAAACATGAATTTCTACCGGATAATCTATAATCATAATTATACACTTTCAATAATCATAACTGTCATTTAAACAAAATAAAAATTCCTAAAGCAAGTGAAATGTGATTATCACTAAAAGGTCAACATTTTGTTCATTGTTTAGATATTGGGCAAGTAGTATGAACTGTTGATTATAATCAAAAAGTTTTCAGAAGCTATTTTTAAAAATATTAGTGTTTCTAAAATAAAGCACTGTACTTTTATCAAATAACATAGGATATGTATGCATATCAAGGGAAGATTGACAGCATATTAAAGCCAAGAATGAAAAGCATAATGGGGAGAACTTTACTGACCTTGAAGAAGACTTCAAGCAAGCTCTGACATAATGAAAATGTTTATTTGCAAAGCTTGTTAAATGAAAACTCAGCAGGAGGGCACTTACACAGTGAAGAATGGAGGTGCTGAATTCTTTGCATTTAAGGGTTGTTGTCAGAACTCCACCTTCCTGAACAAAGAAGACCTCACACAGTGTGGTGAGACTCACAAATCAGTAACTGAAATATATTTGAGATTATTCTGGCTCCGTGTAAATTCTGGAGTTTGGACATTATTACCATCACAAGCAAACTGCACTGATACACTTTGACTGTTTATACTTTCATTCTTGTAGTTAACTGAGCAGATGTTCATGAAGCATCTATTCATACTGTGTCCTCCGAGGAGCTCACCACCTACGAAGAAGGCAGATGATGAGAGACAGTTGAGGAAAGTAAAATAATGGAGATGTACGTGGTAAAATTTTGAGTTTCAAAGAGCGGCTCTCTCCAGTAACCCGTTCTGGAGGGTGAGATGGTTCCCTGGAAGAGATGGTATTTGATCCAAAGATGACTGAGTATGAATTTAGGTAGATTAAACAGGAGAGACAACGAAGGATAGTTAGGCCATTGATAGGGTGGATATTTCTTCAAGGAAAAGTTACAACGTATATGCAGAGAAGCAGCATATGTAACATAAGATGGGAAATACAAGCAGTTTGCTGTTTTTGAAGCCTAGAGGGCAACGCCAAGTGGTAATGAATGGTACGGTAAGCAGGGACCAAATTACCTGCGAGCCTTGTGAACTAAGGTAAAGAATTTATGCTGTATGCAATGAGAAACGTTTACAAGTTTCCCATAGGTGAGTGGTAAAGCTTACATCTTAGGCTCTTCTAGTGGCAGTGCAGAGGGTGGGTAAACAGAATTAAAGGCGGCCAGTTGGAAGGACATTGCGGTAGCTCAGGGAAGAGATGGAGAGAACTTGGACCGAGGCAACGGCAGTGAGCGTGGAGGAGGAGGAACAATGTGTTATGACACTGGAGTAAAACCTGCAAGATCCAGTATTGAGACATAGAGGCTAAAAGGGAACAGAAGAGTCAAGGTAAAGAAAAAAAAAAAAAAGAAAGGCGGCCGGGCGCGGTGGCTCAAGCCTGTAATCCCAGCACTTGGGAGACCAAGGCGGGCGGATCACGAGGTCAAGAGATCGAGACCATCCTGGTCTACATGGTGAAACCCCGTCTCTGCTAAAAATACAAAAAATTAGCTGGGCACAGTGGCGCGTGCCTGTAGTCCCAGCTACTCGGGAGGCTGAGGCAGGAGAATTGCCTGAACCCAGGAGGCGGAGGTTGCGGTGAGCCGAGATCGCGCCATTGCACTCCAGCCTGGGTAACAAGAGCGAAACTCCGTCTCAAAAAGAAAAAAAGAAAAAAAAAGTCAAGTCAAGGTAACACCCAGGTTAGAGTGAAACAATTTTCTAGTTAGAGTGAAACAATTCAATCATGTAAAATATATTTTATTGAGTATTTACTAAATACTGGGCTCTGTCCTAAGCATTGGGTTTAGATTGTTAAAAGAAAGGGGCGTGATCTTTTCCCTTTTGGAGTTTAGAATCCAGGGAAGGATGCAGGAATTTTAATAAACACCATAATAAATATATGAATATATAAATATAAAACATTCTAAGGGCTTTGACTGAAAAGAATAATATGATATCAGGAGAAAAATAATCGCGTCACTAAGAAAGGTGTATCTGAGGAAATGACATGTAAGCAGAGGCTTATTGAATCCAGGCCAAGAATAGGAAAAATAGCGTTCATGCAGTGGGAATAACATGTGAAGTAATAAGAGCTTGGACTCCTCAAAGGCTGAAATGAAGCCAGCATGGCTTAGGGTAAAATGGAAGTGTGGTCCCAGGTGAGGTTTAGAGGTTGGATAGGGACTACATCCCATGACGCTTTGAGGGTCAGGTGAAAACATTTCTGATTTATTTAAAGTGCATTGAGAAACCATCGGTTGTTGTTAAGGCTGAGGAGGTTTGAAGGAAGGAAAAGAATGAGTTTTGTTTTAGGTTAACATGTTGGTTTTGGACTCTGTTTTCCATCACAAAGCTGGACCTGGACGTATTAACCTCACAGGAGAGTTTTGTGCTGGAGATATTTCGGGAGAAACATCTGTGTTTCAAATATAGACAGATAAACAGGAAGTTACAAAGATCGAAGAAAAGTCTCAAATTGCATAAATAGAACCAAGTATATCACGGAAGCCAGGGAAGTGGATTATTTTGAAAAGGAAGGATGACCAACAGTGTCAAACACAATAGAGAAGCTCAGTAAGAGAACATTTTTAGTGGAATTAGGGAATAAAAGCCAGCTCGCAGTGGTTGTGATGGAATGGGAAGAGAGAAACTGGTAATAATGAGTGTAGACCATTCTTTGTAGAGATTTAGATGCAATGTGAGAAGAGCAATTAGATAAAAGCTAACGAGAATGTAGGCTCTTAGAAACATTTTTGTTGTTAGTTTTTTTTTTTATTATGATACTTTAAGTTCTGGGGTACATGTGCAGAATGTTCAGGTTTGTTACATAGGTATACACATGCCATGGTGGTTTGCTGCATCCATCATCCCATCATCTACATTAGGTATTTCTCCTAATGCTTTCCCTCCCCTATCCCCCCACCCCAGACAGGCTCTGGTGTGTGATGTTCCCCTCTCTGTGTCCATGTGTTCTCATTGTTCAACTCCCCCTTATGAGTAAGAACATGCAGTGTTTGATTTTCTGTTGTGTTAGTTTGCTGGGAATCATGGTTTCCCACTTCATCCATGTCCCTGCAAAGGACATGAACTCATCCTTTTTTATGGCTGCATAGTATTCCATGGCATATATGTGCCACATATATGTAATAACTAATGTGTTGTTAGTTTTTTTAAAACTCGGGTGTATTTATAGGTTGTTGGAAAGAAACCAATAGGGAATAGATTGAAGATGTGGAAGGATGACAGATGGTGCAGAATTTTACAGGAGATGGGAGGGGAAGTAATCAGCTCAGGTGGAGATTATGGTCTTGAGCAGGAGGAGTAATCCTTGTTTCCTAAAACTGGAGGTAGGTCCTAAAAATGAACACGGAAAATATGTAGTTATATGGGTGAGAAAACAGGAAATT